CCCCCCCCCCCCCCAAAAGGGGAAAAAAATGACAGTGCGTCTTATGGAGCGAATATTCCCTCCACACATACGGCTCCCGCAGGGTGGAGTGTGAGCCGTTGAGGTGGCAGGACTGAACAGCGCGTCTTGTTAGGCGGGGGTTCGGGGATCTGCGGACCTCACCCCCGGATGACACCCGACCGGAGGGTGACACCAGTCCACGGCGCCGAGTTCAGTCCCGTCAAGGCAACCGCCGGGTCCTGATCCTACAGGGCCCGCGTCATCTGATTCTCCTCCTCCAGCTGTGTGCGGGCAGTACAGAGTGGCAGAGCTGTGACTCATAGAGAGAACTTTTTTCAAAACGGTGAGCAACAACTTGAATGCAATGGTTATTAAAAGTATTAAAAGTAAAAGTTATTATTCCTGCTATGCATAGGTCACTTCTTAGCGTTAAATATTTGTGATTTAAAACAATTCATCTTCGCACAACATTTAGGGTTTGTTCACATGAAATCCAGTGTGTTCCCGCAGTGCGATCACCCGCAGTGGAATGCATGTCACAGCAGTGCGATTGCTTGCACTATTTTTTGCAATTGCACTGCACCGTGGGCATTGCTGTGCTATGCGTTTCCATGCAGGTGATCGCACTGGATTTGGTGTGAACAAGACCTAAATGTTGTGCGAAGATAAATTGCGTCACTCTGACCTCTGCGTCACACCCTGACCTCTGCACGGTGCATCACACCCTGACCTCTGCACTGTGCGTCACACCATGACCTCTGCACTGTGCGTCACACCATGACCTCTGCACTGTGCGTCACACCCTGACCTCTGCACTTTTTTTTTCTTGTTTTTTGCCTCTAAACCTAGGTGCGTCTTATGGTCAGGTGCGTCTTATGGAGTGAAAAATACGGTACTTTATATTTTAGCTTTATTTTAATAAAGCAAATGGTGTCCTGATTATTGGTTCTACTTTGTGTCTTCAGGTAACTAGTACCGTTTTCATACTGCCTCCTCTCAGATCTAACAAAAACAATACAGTACAACCATAATGTACAACTAATTTAGTACATGTTCCCACATATTTATCTCAATATTATAGTCAGAGCTAAGAACAATTCATTGGTTTACAGTTGCAGACCACTGTTTGTACTTGGCACACTGTTCACATTTTTATTTTATTTTTGGTTCTAAAACCATAGTATATTTCATGCCAGGTGTCATTCCTAAAAGACAAACATGTATTCTCCTCCCATATCCACAATATTAAAAAAAACCTATTTATTATTTATGGCATAGATTATGGTACCGGGTGATTTCTTACAGATGTTGCAAGCTGTCATAGTATGTTAACCTTTAAGCTGGTCATACACTGCTCGAATTTCATCCTGCTGCCAAAATCTGAGCATTCTGTGGCCCCTTCAGGACCCCCCACCCCCATTTAACAAAAGTTAATTTTTTAAGTTGACTTTTGTCCAAAGGAGCTGATCCAAATTTTCTCAGCCAAACCATGACTGCCAATCAGCTGCAGTCAATGTTTCAGTATTCTGAATGCGGCACACCTGCCACTGTCATAATACAATAGCCCGGTGGACGGAGAAATCCCCCATCCACGTTGTTTAGCGTGGATGTGGGAAGCAAGCTTTTTTTTTTTTTTTTATTGATCAGCCCGCACAGGGTATGGCCAGCTTAACTATAAGGCATTGAAAAACCCCCAAGGCCTCAGTGATACATGAGGTCTTGTACTGGGCTACTGTTTATTGCATTAGTTATTTTTTGCAATAAGTACGATGACAAGAAAAAAAAAAAAAAAGATTGGTTAGCTGCAGTACAACTGATTGTTCTGATCTTCAGTGAACTGTACAATAAGGTCCATACATCTAGTCACTGGCAAACAAATTGCACTTTCCTGTGATTATGTAATAAAATTGAGAGTTTTTAGAGATGTCCTTGGTTCTTCAATCACAAATTGCAGTACCATGAGCGAGGTGTTACCAATCCCCAGAATGTTTTCTGCAGAAAGAAAATCAATGTATAAATTGTTTTTGTTCAAATCAATTGCAATAAGATGATTATTAAATAACAGTCTATAATCTGATCCTGAGCCCCAACCCTGTGATGCTAACACAAATAAAGCATTGG